GGAACTTCAACATTTTTTTAACAGTATTTTATTTGGTTCTGCATTAATTTAGCATCCCAAATTGCTTGAAAATTGAAAGAAAATCTTAAATCATTGTAGGAATTGCTTGAAATCATGTGAAAGGGTTGTTATTGAAATATATAGGTTCCATTTAATAATGAAATGTTGTTTTTGTGCTTTCTAGAAAATTATTTTATTTAGGTTCTGATTATTCTACAAATATGCAACTCGTACATACTTTCATGAATAAATACATGCACAGATACACCTAAATTTAGAAAATAATGATTAGAAAATATTTTCATGTACCAAATGGAGCTTTAGTGTCCATGAAGAGTGAGGGGACACATAGAAAACTTGAGATCACAAGATGCTGGTTAACAGCAACACTGAAGCTGTTATACAGCATGTTTCCTAGTATAGATGCCACAATATCTAAATTAGAATATCATTCTGTAAAAAGAGGGAATTCTGATGAGGCTTGGACTAACAGTTTGACCTGGTAGTTTTAATAAGCAAGTAAACTTCACTGGTTTGACTATCTCAAAAAAAAAAAAAAAACTTCACTGGTTTGACAGCAAGCAAAAATTAGAAATAAAAAACTATTTTTTGAGAAAGCTATTAAAATCTATTGAACAGATCAGTTTTTGTCCAGTGCTTTTTAACACAAACAATTATGGAAGATAGTTTTGGTACATTTGAAGACTTATCATGCTCCTTTGCTTTTATTTTTCTTTAGATTGGTGTATATGGTTAATTTAGCTTGGAGAATCTTGAAAGACATTCCATGGTACTGTTGGTTGGTGACAGTACTACTGTTAGGAATCATATTTATAGGATATTATCTATGTGTTTGTGGCTTAATGCTGATTTTGACTACACATTTATGATGAAGCATTTTCATGAAGTCTCCTGAATAAAACTATCCTGCACATAGTGGTCATTTGGGTCCTTTGGAGTGTGAACATAAACTGTAGGAAATAATGCCAGTGTGAGTGCAGTATTCATGTATTTTGGTTTTCTAAGATGTACGAAGAAGGACAAGCTTTTGGACCATGTTAGCTATTTAAAAATAACTCATCCAAGATACATGGAAAATGACTAGCTTATCCTTCCTAGCAGTCTAAATGATAAAACTAAAACTTCGTAAATTCTGTTTCTAACATCAAGTCTTATTTAGCTATACAATTTCAGAAAATTGATTCTGTTTCTTTGGGGCTCCACAACTAAGATATTGAAGTTGTTTGTTGAGTCCTTTGTTTTCTTTTTTAAAGAATTTCATATCTGTTCGTGGTTCTCTTGTACATCAATTTATTAGGCTATATTTGAAACGAGTCTACAATTTAGTGAAATTCATTTTAATTGGCACTTGGTTCATGTAGAAGAGGGTGTAAATTTTTTAGAAGATAAAAGATTTCACATGGAATTAAAACAATACATTCAAAGTCTTACATTGTTCTAATTTCATATAGAATTCAATAGGAGGTCAATTTTATTATTTTAAGGAATATTTTCATCATCTTCTAATTGAAATAAGTGAGAATTTGCAAATTAATTCCAAAAAAATTCATATTTGTTTTAAACATAGTTTCGATCCAATAGTGACATTTCTTTTTCATTATTGATGTGGCCAAAATAAAAGTTATTACTCATATTTGATGCTGATGATCTGTAAAACCAATTGCTGGCTCATTCTGCTTATTCATTTGGGTTTTGGCATTTATGTCTAGTATTTTAATATCTCATTTGCAGCACAACTGGAGCCCGAGACCCTATAACATCCGCGTTGCACATTGTCCTCGGCAAAAGGGTGTGCCTTGATGTAGCTCAGGTTGTGAGATGGAAAACAAAATCAACTTCAAAAGTTGAACCTTTTGTACGCTATGCAGCTTCTTTTGCTGGGTAATTTTTCTTTACTGCTGATCTGATGCCTCTATACGTATTATGTATTCCTAAGCCTTCACAAACATATTCTTACCAGACATATGTGCATTTTATCTATTGTTTATTTGGTGCATTCTCATGTGATTATGCACATGCACTGATTAATTTTAAACCGAGTTCTTGTAGATGGGGGTTTCTTGATTATGATTGCAATATCAACCAAGATATGCTTCAAATTCCTTGACAAATGCAAGCATTACCAAACAGGGCTGAGGCTTGTTTAATCATTAGCCATCTGCGTCATAACGGCTTTCAGTTTTGCTATTTTTATGTCTATAGTAGAGGCTATAGCTTGGGTACTCCTGTCTGTATTTTCCTTCACATGGGGAGAGAGGAATAGTAGGACCTGTTAAGGGGAAATGATCCTCTTCAACATTTCAGACAATTAGTTTCAAACCCTTTGCTTCATCTTTTTTTTTTACTTTTCTCTCTCCTTCTAAATAATACTTTCAGTACCCTCTTGCCATCCTGTTAACACATTCATTTTCCTATCAAGAAAGGAAAATTTGCTTATCTATAGACAACAGATAATTTTAGGACAACCCTATTGTTGCAAATTTGTTTCACATACATAATTTTAAGATAATGTTGGTCTCCCTTTGCTTGATTGTTAATTTTTAATCACCTAATCCTCCTGTCAAAAACCAAGCCTGATGAACTAAAATGCTTTTTATGGATGAATTTTTTTTTTCTGAATTCATCTTCTTAAAATTGCCAGTTATGGATTCTATGGAGACGTCATTACAGAAAGTGAAAAACTTCGCTGGATGGGTCCCAAGCGATATGATATTGCTGGAACAAAAGTTTTCTTGACTCACAGGTATATTTTAAATGGGCTTGATAGCGAGGAATCAACGTTTTATTAATCAGTTCCCAAATCTAAAAATCTTCTCTTACTATGTTCTGTATTGTGTTAATCATTTATCCCCCTCAGATCATATGAGGCAGAGGTAGCCTACCTAGAAGTTGAATCAGAAAAACCCTGTGCAGCCCCTGACAATTGCTGTCAACAGGGTAGGATATGGCCACTACGGAGTACAAATAAATCTGAAAGAGTGGTTTGCCAAGTTAACTGCATTATTTGTAATACAAAGCCAATTCCACATGCAAAACCTTATTCACGTCTAGAGGAAACAAGATGGAAGAAATCGAAAGGGTGTTTTCTTAGTGTGGCTGCTGCTTTGATATCAAATCGTAATGAAAGAGCACCTGATGGCTTGGTGGTGGATGCACACCTTTCAGATGGTTTCTTGCATCTCATATTGATTAAAGATTGCCCCCGTGCTATGTATCTGTGGTAATTTTCATAATTATTACAAAATTTATCCCCTTTTCAATCATCAAGTATCTTATTTTTGGGTGTTTTTAGAAAGTAGGTGAAGATTAAAACTAATATGCGTCACGACGTGAAAAAGAAATAGAAGGAATATTTGTACTCAGAGTTTCATGGAGGGAAAAGAAATCAGTTTCTTTGGGTTAGGATCATCCTAAATGTTCAAGTGTTCCAATTCTGCAGTACCTCAAATAAATTCATATGTGAAGGTTGATTTTGAGGACTTCCCAGAACTGTAAAGAAAATTGGTAAAATTCGACTTGAGATCATTTTTGTTTTAATGATCTTTGAGATGCTTGTCAGGGTAGATAATAAGCTTCTTGAATTTGTTTGTGCTATCCCTTTCCTCAAACACCATTGGTTATCTACAACTTGTTTTTATGAGCTTTACATTGCTTTATCTATTACAGGCACCTTACCCAGCTAGCCAAAAAAGGCGGTACTCCTTTGAACTTTGATTTCGTGGAATATCACAAGGTATGCTTTCTCACTTTTTTGTCATCCTTGTAGAGTTTGAAAAGAATTCCTCGGTGTTTTTCCAGTTCTTCAAGAAATAATGTTGCGAATTTGTTGTTTTTCTCCTCTTATGTTGTATGTACAGACTACAGCTTTTACATTTACTTCTTTTGGCAAAGAGAGTGTCTGGAATTTGGATGGCGAGCTGTTTGAAGCACATCAACTGTCAGCACAAGTATTTCAAGGCCTTGTCTGGTTATTTGCATCTGGTCCAGAAGTTTAGCAGAATACAATACTAGAAAGTTGTCTCCAAGATTAGCAGAGTAGAATGGAATTAAACCTAACTACAAACAATTAATATGGTATTTAACATGTCATATAATAAAATCTGTATAGTTCCCAGGTAATGTAACTTGTTTGAAGTGTATCAGCTGATGATGTTGACAAGGGGGTTGAAGAGAATGGTTGTATATGTTGAGTACTGTAACATAGGAAGGTAAACAAGCATGTTTATAACTAATACTGAATAAAAAGTGTATCTAATTGTTATATGTTTGTGAATTTTGAATCTTTAGCATCAGCTGAAGGAATTTTTGGATGAGATTTGTGCTGACTCCAGCCAATTTGTTATATGGACTATGGACTATGGCATGTATTTGTCTGGATTTTTGCATAGTGACATGTAAAAGTTTAAAACTAAAAAATAAAATTAAAAACAAATGAAAAAAATTGCAACAGTTTAACATACTAATAATGTTATGAACGTTGACAAAATACTAAATCACATAGTATATTCAACTATCTATTTATTGGAACTGGAACTGTAATTACTTTAACTATATAATAAAATTACAATTTGGAAAAAGGAGAAATGAAATAATAACTTTTAGGAAATAGCCAAATTTATAATCTATATTGTAGTTTACTACCCTTTTTATGCACAAATATCAAATACATGCCAGTTACACATATATATAAATATAAATAGAACTAAAATATTTTGTGTGGTTACGTTTCTTATCATAATATAACCAATAAAAATATAAAATTAAAATATATGATTGATTTTGTAACACCCAAAACTTTTATTTAATTTTATTTTAATTTTTATTAGAATTTTTATTTAATTTTATTATATTTTAATAATTAATTTATAAAATTTTAATTTAATTTAATTTAATTCAATAGAAATAAAAATAAAAATAATAATAAAATGAGGTAAAATTATTTTTGAGATTTAATTAAAATTGATTTTGAGAAAAATAGGTGAAAATTTGGATTCTGAAGGTATTTTTGAAAAGAAAATCGAAAACCGGGGATCAAAATACAATTTAGAAAAATAGTATCACGTCAGCAGTAACGTCAGCAGCCCGGTCAGCAGACTCGGCCAACCAGGACACGCCACGTGGCAGGGATGCTGATGCGGGGAGCCACGTGGGCGATTCGCGTGCGTGCGATCGGACGTCCCAGATCCGCTCCCGCACGCATGGACGGCCCAGATCAAGAGTGCGTGCGGATGACCCAGATCGCATCGCGATGGACGGCCCAGATTTATTTTCAATTTAATCGTTATCGGATGGCTCCATATTAAATCATGATGGACGGCTCAGATTAAAAGGGGAAGGTTATAAATAATCGCATCCACACCCAACCCCAAACCTAGCCGCCAGAACCTTCGCCGGAGAAGACGACCCAGCCACCGGAGGAACCGGCCGCCGCACATGAGGATTTTCGGCCGCCAAACGAGGTAAAATTTCTTCCCTTAGCTCGTTTTTGATACTGAACCTCCATGTGGCAAAATCATAGCCAAACCACCGGCCAATTGGCCGAAAAACATCGTCGAAGTCAAGCGGCGCCGCCGTGAGTTTCTTCGGTTTTTGCCTCCGATAAGGCCCTTCCCGGTTCCCGTTCGATGTAATTTTTATACTACTGTGACCACCGTCCTTTTCTCTACAGGTTGACTAGAGCAAAACACCAAATCGCAACTCGTGCCGGAGGAGCCGCCGCACCCGAGAGCTTCCTCGCCAATAAGTCTCGGCTTTTTGGAATTTTTTGGCCCACCAAGAGTCCTAGGGGTGTTTTATCATAGGAACCAATGCAAGTTTGGCCGAATTCGGCCAAAAACGGTCAACCCAAGGCGAATCACCGTCGTGGGCGGCGGCACCGTCGCCAGAGCACGGCGAAGCTGCCGTGTTGGAATTCCGAAATTAGCTGAAAGGGCCCTGGGTCTGATTTGGGATTTTTTGGGGACATGTACAGGTACCGGAAGTGTGTTTCAGTTTTCGAGAAAAAATTCAGGGAATCTAGGGACTGCTCGTAGGCGCAGTGAGAACCCGATTTCAGACTACGAAACAAGTAAGGATCTCTCACCCTATTTTCTATCACGGCATTAAAGCTTAATAAATGATAAAATGGTATTTTATGAATTAATAGATATGTATAATTGATTAAGGTTGCTAATGGAGCCCGAATCTGATATATTTTCGATCAGGTGTTGTTTGATTTATTTTATAATTTTGAATGCAGTATGGTGCCTGATGTGTTTATTCTATGGTTTTGTATGCATGAATCACGGTTTTATTTATTATACTTTGAACTATTGTGAACTCGATGTTGTGTTGTCTTGTTTGGTGTCCATTACTAGTTTATGTGTTTATGTTTGATTTGATAATTGAGATTAAGAAAAATAGAAAAAGGTATGTGAATTGATAAATAGATGATGTCGACAGCCTGACTAGATATCTTAAGAGATGTTGGACGGACCGGCTCCATAGAGAACCCTACCGGGAACGTGGTCTCTCATATCGGATGGGGTATAGAGACTTTATGTGTTTTGGCGCCCATACCGGACGGGGTATGGGGACAACCCGTTTCACCCTCATACCGGACGGAGTATTGAGGTTTAAGGTTTTGGCGCCCATACCAGACGACGTATGGGGACGACCCTGGAATTAAGTTATTAATGTAAATGGTTCACGTGTAGCAGAGACCCCCTATGGATCCCTATGGATACTAGTAGGCTGATAAAAGAGAAAATTTGTTGCCTGATGATTGAAATACAAAAGTATGATATGTGTTATGTTATAGAGTGTGCATGATCTTATGATATTTATGATGTTATTGTTTCTCATAAGTTGTTTTCATGAATCTCACTGAGGTAAATAGACAGTAAAGGTTTTTATTATTGATAAATGAGTTTGTTATAAATTATGCTCCATTGTTCGTTTTTATTTTCTACCAACCTTTACTTCTATGACAGTGAGATAGTGTGATGTTTTTACTGGAGTATTGTAGCTCATTTCTTACTTAACCATTTCATATCAGGAGAACTTGGTTCCCGAGTCCGTTCTGCAGGAAGGCGGCGAGGAGAAGCCAAAAAATTTATTAATTTTCCTTATAACATTCATTCATAATATTTCCTTTAAGTTATTTTATTTTTTCATACATTTAATTCATTTTAGTTATTGTGTAAAGGATATTAATCATAATCTATTTTATTTTAGTTCCGCACTTAAAATAAATATATATATTTTCTTTTAATTTCTAAAACCGTTACAGATTTGCCGGGGGTAGTTGACCATTGAGGAGCGCCAAAGTTCCAGGTTCCAGAGTTTTTTTTTTTCTTTTTTCTTCTTCTGAGGGGACAAAAGTTTAAGTAAAGATACTAATTCAAATGAATTTTTTTACAACCGATTAAAGCTGGTGCTTCAATCATCTTCACGCTAATAAAACTAATAATTGGGATTATCAACAACGATAATCAGTCTGATCAAGAACAACACGAAAACAGTAATCTCCTCCAACAAGAAAAGAAACGTTTTTTACATCTTCTTCCAAAATTCCCCACAGAATAACTATAATACCATACAATTTCATTGTTTTAGTAATATCTACAAATTCCCAAGTTGCTTTAGATTTAAATAAACTCCATTTAGAAGTTCATTAATTTTGTTTTTCAAAAAAGAAACTTATAAATGTAATTGTCAGATTAGTAAACGCCTGACGGGTCAAGGCATGCTGCTTCACTCTACGATGATCAGTAAGGACGAATTTGGTGGGTTTACCCATTCGCTTGTCTTGTTCCCTCGACTATAAACAGTTTGTGAAGCTCCCTCCATGTCTAAACAGGTTTCATGGACTCACAAAACGATGGGCTCTCTGATCTAATTCCTCCTCTTTGAGTTTTCTGGAGCTCAAAATTTGAAGTTGTAAATACTGGGTATGGCTTGTTTTCCCTTATAAAACTTCTTCTGTTCAATCATTCTTCCTTACTTTCTTCTTTTCTTCTTTTCTTTTTCTATTGCTTGCTGGATTTTTTTAGTGACAATTTCCGTGAGCTTCGTTTTCTCTCTCCATTTCGTGATAAAAATTCGAATTTTTTCTTGTCAATTTCATCGAACTACGTAACTGCTAATGTTTCCTTTATGGGTAAATATTTTCATTTACATATATACATGCACGCATATATATAGAGGTTTGAATTTTAAGGATTTAGAACTGATAATGGCTTAAAAAAGCTAGTAGGCATACATGGAAACAAAGAACAAATTATTTTGAGTCTTTTTTTCTTTTTCTGGTTGCTTCCTTTTTTTCTTTCCTTTTTTCTGAAATCGTCGTTGAAATTAATTTAGTAAATCTTTTTTATTCTTTATCATAGTTACTTTATTAAATACGCGTAATAAATATTTTCTGATATTTTTATGACCATAATCAGGGTATTCTTCCCCCAATTCAATAATTCCCTTTTTCTCTCTGTATCCTATTTATTATTCATCAAGTCCATTGTTTTTCTACATATAAAACTCGCAGAATTCTAAGTACTAAATAGAATTTAATTTTTGTTGAGATGGTTAGGGGAAGAACTGGACTCCAACTTGAATCTTCAGACTCTTTAATTTAAAAACTCTTTTCAATTAAAGAATGTCATATCATCTAAACTAATGTTGTTTGTGAACATAATTTAATCTTGTTTCTTTCTTGGGTATTTTTTAGTATCAGTTTTTTATTTGGTGGTGCAGTCAAGTCACAGTAATGGAGGAAGATGAAGTGATAGAAGAGGAAGAAAAACTTGTCTTGCTATCTCCACCACCTCCTTTATCTGTTGCAATAGCGATAAATGGAAATCGAAAGAGCAAGTACATCGTCAAATGGGCGTTGGATAAGTTCATTTCTGAGGAAAACGTTGCATTCAAGTTGTTACATGTCCAGGCAAGGATTACTTCTGTTCCTACACCAAGTAAGCTATCGGCTAGCACTGCTTTCAAAAAGAAATGTTATCATTGCACTTCACTAATGCAAAAGAACGTGAAAATAACAGAAGGGATTCTAAGGGGATTACTATTCTTGTTTTTCTAGTGGGTAATTATACCCCGATTTCACAAGTACGAGATGATGTGTCAACTGCTTATAAGAAGGAAGTAGAGTGGCAGACTAGTGAAATGCTTCTATCTTACAAGAAAATGTGTCTTCAGCGAAAGGTACGCTTTGCCTGTTGGGTCTCGGTTAGCATGAATCTGGAAAAATTAGAATATGATTTGCTTTGTTTTGAATGAAGGTCCAAGTGGATGTTATGATGATTGAGTCTGATGACGTGGCAAATGCAATAGCAAAGGAGGTCTCTAAACACAAAATCAATAAGCTTGTTATTGGAGCCTCCCCTCGTGGCATCTTTTCAAGGTATTTGACTTGTATAAAGGTAAAAATGAAATTAATACATAAGCAATGATCTTCATTTGAATGCTTGCTTGCACAGTAGATGTTTTACATATCTTATTCTTCCAAAAGATTGATGAATGCTCTTCCACAAAAGTGGAGTAGAGAACTGGTTTCTCCATGGCCTATAAGAAAAAGGAAAAGAAAAAGCTTATGTTGTAGAATGGAAATGATGCAGGTCATATACATATCAGTGCATGCTGAAGCCAAAAATATTGAAAACACTGTTGTAGAGAAAAATTATTAGGCACTCTAAGAGTGCAGATGAGTTGGAAGGCTTTATACATGTGATTGAAATACTTTAAATTTTGTTTCTATAATTTTCTAAATGAAGGTTTGAAATGAAACAATCACATTTACAGGCTGCACATACTAATCTGTACACCTAGATCACCAAATAATTATTTTGTTTGAGGGGCTATATTTTTTTTTGCATTTTTACTTTTGAATTGTAAAACTTGCTAACAATAATACTCATTGTAGGAAGGTGAACAAGAATGATATGTCCTTCAGAATTTCCACATGCACTCCAAGCTTTTGCAGTGTATATGCTATTTCAAAAGAAAAATTGTCTTCTGTCCGTCCATCTGATTTAGAGTCAAATCAAAGCATTAAAGATGATAATAGTGAGATAAGTTGTTCTACAGAGTTCATCAAGTTATACTTCAAGCTTGCAAGCAGGTAAATGCACTTTAATGGTCCAAGCTAGATTTCATTACCGATTAATGAGTGTGCTATAGACATTTTTGTGCTCCCGTAGAATTAGAGAAGCAGTATTACTGGAGTTGCATCTCCAATGTGTTAAGCTGTTGAATTTGATCATCACCAAAGACATTACTGTTTTACTATAGCACTTTGCATTTTAACACACTATTTCTTTTCTGGCAAGTAATGTGAAAGAAGCAAAAAGTAATAATAGCATTTATTCTTCCAAATTTAGGAAAATTTCTTTTGGAATTACTGCATGAGGTTTATGTACATAAATAAATATATATTACAACAAACATCCATGGAAGATGACAAGTTTAAAAAGGTGAGGTGGATTAAGATTTTCATAAACTATAAGTTTGTCTTTGATTAACTTCTCTGGAAAATGGTTAATGCCAAAAGATTTTTTAACCTGTCGACTGGCATGCAGGTTCAGTTGCTTCCTATGCTCATTTCCGTTCTCCTTCCCTAGCAGTACAGAGATTTCAAGCGCTTTCAAGTATAAACCAGGCACTTCTTCATAGAAGAACGAGTTCTCTTGATGCTCACCATTATAGCTGCCATTATCTGGATATTGAGGAAAGGAAATATGGTAATAGTTCCAGTACTAGCAGTGATGAAATGGGACAGGCGGACAATCAGGCTTCTGGTTGGAGAGGCTTACTAACAGATAATCATTCTTGGATATCTGATCAAGCTTCCAACTCAGATGCACTCCCTTGGAATTCTTCTACTGAATGCCAGGTAGCTTTTTCATTTTCATTGTGACTTGTTTATATTGTTTTTTAACCAAGTGTGCTTCGAGTGGCATGATTTTATTTTATTTACGGTGATTCCATGCATTAGACTTGTGAACATCATTGAAGTTGTGTTTTCTTTCAATCACATATGCAGGTAAACATTGACTTGGAGGTAGAAAAGCTGAGAACTGAGCTCGGACATGTCCGAGGAATATATGCAATGACTCAAATTGAGACCCTTGATGCTTCTTTTAAGGTTAGATTCCGCTAAATGACATATATGATGCAGTTCATGCAACTATAATATAGTTGGTGGACTTTATTATATTGTGAGTGATTTTAAACACTATCCTTTCTTTACTGAATGACTGACAGTATGGAGTATAACCTATGAAAAAGAATTAAAGAGTTGGCTGGTTTGGCATCCTTGTTTAGTAATGCAGACCAAAGGAAACTAATTCCTTTCCTACCTGTGTGGCGTTGGCTGCATTCGATCCTTTTAAGCCATTTTATTATGTTTATTGTGTTTCTTTATCTACATTATTGATAAGAAGATCTTAACTTAAAGTATCTGACTAATATTCTCAGGCTTCATTTGGTACGGCTTTTTGAATTGGCTTTATTTTTTTTATAAGTATAATCTTGCTTTTATTATTCTCCTGAACTTTTATTACTATTGTAAGTAAACCTTTTCATCTCTTTTCAGTAACAATGTTCACCAACTAAATTTTCAGCTGAAAAATCTTAAGGAATGCCAATTGGAGAAAGAAACAGAGCTCAAGGAGCTTAAGTTAAAGGAGGAGAAAGCTGAAGAAATGGCAATAAAAGAAAAGGAGAAGTATGAATTAGCTAAAAAGGAACTTGAGTATGTGAGAGGATGTCTTGAGAAAGAAGCTTCACAAAGGTGAGAAGCAGAGATGAATGCTGCACGCAGTGCCAGAGAAAAGGAGAAGTTTGAGAATGCACTTCTGGGTCCTTTGCTGCAGTACCAGAAATTCACCTGGGCTGAGATTACAGCTGCCACCTCATCTTTTTCGGAAAATCATAGGATTGGAATGGGAGCATACGGAACTGTCTATAAGTGTAATCTACATTATACAACAGCAGCAGTGAAAGTTCTTCACTCAAAAGAGACAAAATTGACAAAGCAATTCAATCAGGAGGTATGGACTCATTCATCTTACAATAATCACAATGGTTCATTATGAACAGAGAAAGGACATAATGAGATGTTTTGTAGAAACTTCTTGATGCCTATTCTGGAACAATCAAATGCCTTGGTTCCTTTGGCTGCCATGTGTAAACTTTTAACTGCCATGTATTTTCAGCTTAAGAAAATTGTTGGTAATATCTTCATTGATCTTCAGCTTTCCATCCTCTAGAGTTGAAATGATGATGGCTCTTTGTAACCTTTTTTTCTGTGACATGAGAAAGCCAATTGTATGATTTTTTCCCCCTTTTTGTGCACAATTTCTGTTCTTTCAGCTTGAAATCTTAAGCAAAATTCGACACCCGCACTTGCTTCTCCTTCTTGGTGCCTGTTCAATGTGAACAATACTCCATCCATCCCATGGTTTGAGAGGTATCGAATTGCTTGGGAAGTGGCTTCAGCTCTTGTTTTGCTTCACAACACAAAGCCTAAACCAATTATTCATTGTGATCTGAAGCCAGCAAACATCTTTGCTTGATCATAACTTTGTGAGCAAAATCAGTGACGTTGGCCTTTCAACAATGGTTCGCTCGGACCCATCCTCTGTATCTGCCAGATGGGAGGACTCAGGCGTAGTTGGGACGTTATGTTATATAGATCCCGAGTACCAAAGAACAGGATTTGTTTCTCTGGAATCTGATGTTTATGCATTTGGGATGGTCATTTTGCAGTTGCTGACTGCAAAACCTGCAATAGCATTAGCCCACAAGGTGGAAACAGCTATAAATAATGACAACTTAGCAGAGATCTTAGATTCAAAAGCTGGGAGCTGGCCAACTGATGAGACCTGGGAATTGGTGAGATTGGGATTGAGCTGTGCTGAGCTACGGCGCAGAGACAGGCCTGACCTATTGCTTCTTAGAATTTTGTTTTTACAATATAACACGCACATACAATCGCATAAATATACGTATACAATATAATTGGATGATTAGTACTTTTTATTTTTATAAAAAGTTATGAATTTGAATCGGTCTGTGTATTTTCATTAGTAAATTGTGTTATGAGTTGTTTATGTATCATCTAATTAATAAAACAGATGAATTTCATTATATATATATGATGTGTTTGTTTTCCAGGATGTTACGAAGGACGCTTGTGTTGCAGCAGATGGGTACACTAACGAGCGCAAAGCAATTGAGAAATGGCTTGAAGAGAATGAGAAATCACCAATGGCAAATTTGGCATTTGCCAAACAAGAATATTTTACCTAATTATACTCTCCTTTTTGCTATCACGGAATGGAATTCCAGACAGCAATAGCCCTCTGTCTTTCCATTTCTTTTATTCAAAAAATACTTAGTGAAAAGAAAAATGTATAGTTAGCAAAAGGATGAAGGAAAATACAAAGGGCCTCACTAGTTGAGTTTGGGGTTTTAGATATGTGTGTAAATATGATTTTGATTCATCATCTGTATGTTTGCAGTTTTATTTCCTGTTATTTGGTTTATTGTAATTTGATTTTTCTTACTTTTTTTTTTTCTATTAGTAATAATAACATTTGTTATTATTTTACATTATATCATATTATTTGTCTTTTTAAAATTTTTATTTGTTATTAGTATTAAATTTTTTAACCAAAATTATCTGATTAATTTAAGATAAATATTTTAATTATTTCATTTAAATAAATCATCAAATTAATGTGAATATTCTGTACAATCTACCCAAGTTTTAAACATATTGACCAAGATACACAAAAAATCAAACAAAATTAAATCCATCTGAAAAATCAAATTTATTTCTTTTAAATACATATGGCACTTACTATTTATTACCAAGGACAAAAATGTGGTCCCCACTGTCCTAAAAAGTGATTTCCCTGAACCACTCAGATCTCGCCACGTCACTAAACCGCTCACCGACCATATCTTGTGGGTTCCGCAGATCGCTAGCCGGCCGAACCGGATCCGCCGGTTTTCTTCCCTCCAGATTCCAGACTTCCAGTTAAACTTGTTAGGAACCGGAGACGGTTCATCATGTTTCGCTTCGCTCGCAAGGCATCGTCTTCTTCTTCTCTTTGACTCCTTCATTCGGCCTACAAATTTTCCGCTTTCTCTCTCCCCTGAAACATATATGTACACATATACTTACATACCCTGATAAAGTGGTTACTGCTCCAATAAGCCGTCTTATCCCAAACGTACTTCGTTTATTTTCCTTATCTCTGTCAAAAAAGTGAAAATAACAGAGAGACAGACTTTTTTCTTTTTGATCTTTTCTTCAGATTTTCTCTTTTCTGCAGATTCTTTTCTATAAACTTGCATTGATTTCTTTGATACCCAGAATTTCTTTCGTCTCAATTTTTTTTTTTTGTCTTCCTGATTCTCGTCATTTCCCTTCAATCAATTCCCCCAATACCCATGACTTTCTCGAGAATTTTCCTTCTCTTTTCCCTCTTTTCCCTCGCTTTTTCCCTCGAGACTTTTGACTCTCATCTTCTACCGAGACCACTGATCCTTGAGTTCGCTGAAGCATCTGAGACCCAGTTAAGAGAATTCGACCAGGAAGTCGAGTTCCAGTGTACCAGCTGGAGATTTGCAGTGGAGGCAAACAATTTGAGTCCATGGAAGACGATTCCAGTGGAATGTGCTGATTATGTGAAAGCTTACGTGAACGGAAGAGGTTATGCTCTGGACCTCCAGAGAGTGTCCAATGAGGCTGGAGTTTACGCTAGCAGCGTTAAATTGAATGGCGATGGTAAGGATGTCTGGATTTTTGATGTGGATGAGACTCTCTTGTCCAATCTTCCATATTATGCAGACCACGGATACGGGTATGCTATTTTTTTTCCCCTTTTGCTATTCTTTTATTTAAGGTTACATAATTTCTTTTTTTGGCCGGGAACAAAGTCACATGGTGGGGCTTGGATTTTCATATTTAGATGTCTGGAATCAACTATTGATCACGTACTATAGTTTGATATATAGTATAAAAGGCTAATTGATAAAATCAAAATGTGGGTACTGCTTCAACTTGTTAAAAATGTTTGTATTAGTTTACTTGGCTTCTGAGAAAACTGAAATCTAAAATTAGTAAAATGAAGATAGGTTTTTGCTATTGATTTCTGGCCATCAAGTAACTTTGAAAGTTCCAGATAATTGAGTGTCTTAAGTTTTTTTTATTGAATTTGATTTGATTCTCTTTTATAATTTTTCGAAGAACTTAGTCATAGTTTTCCATGTGGACTTCATTTGGGTTTTGCAGTTTGGAGATTTTTGATCATTTGGAGTTTGATAAGTGGGTTGAGAAGGGAACTGCACCAGCTATAGAACCCAGTTTGAAACTATACCAAAACGTTATGGATTTGGGTTTCAAGGTTTTCTTGTTAACTGGGCGCAGTGAAAGCCATAGGGTTGTTACTGTTGAAAATCTGATCCATGCAGGCTTTCAGAATTGGGACAAACTTATTTTGAGGTTAGTTTTTGTTTTGTCATATAATTCGTTAATCGGATTTAGATAGCTTTCGACTTGGCATTCTTTGTGAAATTAGATTTTTATGTTTAATTTGTTTAGAATGATCATTATTTTTTAAGATTAAGCTCTGGTACAGCTCTATCATAGATGAAGCAAAATCCGTATGCCAACTTCCTTCACCCACTGTTGGCATCTTTTATAGAATTTCATAATTTTTCCTGCGGACCTCTTTGGTTAAGGACAGCCCTATATATATATATATATATATTCCAAATTAAGAAAACAAAAGGAATGCTGATATTTGTGACTTTTTTATGCTATTATAGATGCCGAATCTTTCAAATTTTGGCGAGTTCTCTTCTTGGGTATTTCTTATTTATATTTGGCAGTTATTTGCCTTTCTATTCTCAAATGGCACCATGATTGTGGATGGTGAAGCTATACTTATAAACATTAGCTTCAATAAAGTTAATAGTTCTTATACGTCCCCATATGCCACTATGCCACTTTTATGTGTTTGATTAATCTTTTGCCATAAATTATTGTCTCCAATAAAATCTTTCGCTACATGGAGAATCCTTCTAGTAAAAATCTCGTACAGTGTTGTTCAAAAAAGAAACGCTGAAAAGGAAGATATTGGATGGGAGAATGGATGTACTTAGATGCAAACTTTATGAGTCAGTTTTATCTCCAAACAAATTATTACTTTATTTTTTTTCTTCATGTTGTTTGAACAGAGTTTGGGATTTTTTTCTTTTTACTATGATGGTCTTGAAGGGGAAGAGGGAGAAAAATTACCTTCTTCCTTGTTTAGGCATGTTGACATGGATTTGTTATGTGGAAGAAAGCCATACTTTCAACCATTCTTCTAATAGTTCTATTATAGTCTAAAAAAAATTCTATCATTATGTAATGGAAATATGTTGTTTCTCTGGCACTCTTGTGTTTGCATAGTAGGAAATTTTCCAAATACCAAGTGAGAAGCAAATTAAGTTTGGATAGGTGGTTCTCACCTTTTTTTGATTGTCTATCTGATTCCTGGAATCACAAGGTAAACCCAATGGGAATATTATTTGTTCGGCGGCTTTGTTTCTTTTTCCTGTTGTGGTTGGAGGGGAACAAGGGGGTTCATGTGGGACAGGTTATAATTAAAAGTAGGAGTTGGAGTATGAAAAATTGTCTATTTGGAGGCCAGAAATTTCCCACGGCAGAAAAATGTTTTTTGGTAGGAGCAGCTTGCGTTATAGTTTTGGTAGATGATAAGATGCATGATATGTTTTTTCTTTAATCTCATCAGTGTTTGGAGTTCTAATTACTGTTACTTTCTTCACATGATATCATGATTGATCTGTAAAAGAGAAAAGTTGAAGAAGCTTTGAGTTTCACATTATCAAAGCTTTAGGACCGGAAAAAATGTGTTTGTTTGTTAGTATGATGGGCTTTTAGGAATGTTTTATTTCAGTCACTGACACACTTTATACTTATTCTCATTCTCATATGAACGAGTCATGAATGTTTTTGTAATGTAGATCATCAGATGATCATGGGAAATTAGCAACAGTCTACAAATCAGAGAAGAGAGATGAGATGATAAAAGAGGGATATAGGATCCATGGAAATTCTGGTGACCAATGGAGTGATTTGTTGGGTTCGTCAATGTCCAATCGGTCATTCAAGCTCCCGAATCCTATGTATTATATCCCCTAAAGAAGAAAAAATTTCATTTCTTTGTAAAAGATAATAGTAAAAGCACTCAAATAAACAAACGTTGTTATTCTGATTTGTTTGGCTGCCATACACTCAATGTTCATATGAAGCTGAAGTAGAACGAATTCCAAACATACTGTAATTTGCATTTACCCATTTCCTCTGGTTTTACTTATATGTTGAACTGTTATCAGGTGAATGTTGTACATGGTTATTGTGCAGCAGGGAATAATTCGGGCATTATCCCCCGTATAACGAATAAAGAACATCACCCAGAATCATTTGTGCCTGAACGTAGTACTATAAACCCATGTTATCCAGAGCCCAGAAATAAATGATCTTTGTACATATAGCTAAAGTTGTGTGGTTGAATGACTGATGCAACCGTGGGAACTTCAAGTTGGGAGACAAAACGGCAACGTTTTACATTAAATGAGGGACCATTTTTTTTTTTTTTTTTTCTTTTCTCCTCTAGTATAATATATATATATATATATATATGTATATTTTCGGTTAGGCGATTCTATTCTTGTGGGTATTTGTGCTTAAGTTTCATATTCGAATCAATTGATCTGGGTTGTTTGTATCTGCAGCATAAATTTCATCTAAACTTAGCCTATATATACACATGTATACATAGTTTTTTTATCGTAAGAGGACCACCATTACAATGTCATCCCTTTTCTTCAATAAAGAGACTACATTTACTTTGGTCCCCTTTTCCAAATGCAGAACAGCGAAAGCCAACTAATATTCATATATTTGAAAAAAATAAAATAATTGGTATCAGATATTTTTAATAATAATTATGAGATAAATTCATATTTACGTGCTTTTGAAATAATATCTTTTGCTGGAGATATTTTTAATAGTATTAAAAGAAAGGATATACGTACAATACTGATTTAGTATTAATAGTGAAAATAATTAAAGGCAGATAAGAGAGACGACTTGAATTCTAAGCCATTCACAGAAGTGAAAACTGTAATTAATTAATAACGAAATATGAAATGAAAATAATTAATAACTACAGTCTTTATATAAATATTAAGGTTTAAAAACGATTAAATTAATAAAATATTTTATTCCAATTTCGTTAATTTTATTATTATTATTTTATTTTTAGTTCAGGTGGTATATAAGCACTGATTTTTTAAAGAACAATTAGTGATAAAATGGAACAATTAATCTCCGTAATTAAAAAATATGAGATTTACTTATTAATTTTCTTTTTAAAAAATATAAATTTATAAATGAAACTGTCCGGCCGCACTTTTTTGACCAAAATTAAATTGGTGAAGGAAAGTGGGGCCAGAGCCATCTTGATGACGTGGGTGGGGTCCGCCCAACACCCCCATCAATCTCCGCCGCTAATTTGTACTCTCTCAACAACCTACTTTACTTTTATCATCAATCCTAAACCAAATAATTTTCCGATTTTCTTTTTCCTTTTAATCAATTAGAAACAGAAAATAAAATTAAAGCTAATTTATTTGATATATATAAAATTCAGTAAAATAAATATTATGTTTAATTATGTATATATATTGATAATTTATCTCAATATTTATGAAATTACTATAAGCTGCACCTAAATTTAACTAATAATTTAGTTTAAAAAATTATGAGTAATACTAAACTTTAATAAATTTAATTAAATAAATTTGGCAATAAATTTCAAAAGTTACAGATTAAACTTATATAAATAAAGAGACATAATAGAAAGTTAATTTTATTAAAAAATTCACAAAACTCTCTGTGAATTCTATAACTTTATAGATATGAAATATTGTCTAAGTTTTCATGTATTTTAATTTAATTATATACTTTTAAACTTTTGTGTATTTTAATAAATAAGTAAATAATAACAAATCTTCTAAGAAGATTATGGGATTAGTATCTTCTTGTGTTTGTTTAAAGTGAGATTATCTTTTTTTTTTTATTTTGAGATATATTTATATATAAACATATACAAGTATGGTTCAAAAAAACATGCTTTTTTAACTCACTTAGACTATTTAATTACATTTAATTTGAAAAATACATAATTTAAAATACAACATTTTAAGGTCATACTTAAAATTACAAAAAATACAGCTATATTTATTTATAAATCCATGATTATGTTCCAAGTTTTACGTTAAATTTAAATAATATATTTTAAATTCTATTAAAATTAACAAAATTTAAAATAGATTTAGTGAAATTGTATTTTTTTTTTAAATAAAATTTCATATATATGTACACACACACACACAAAATAACAAACCTCCCATTTGGAAATATCTTAATTAATAAATAATAAATAGAGTATTTATTTGAGGGAAAATATATTAGGGTAATTACTTACCTTACACATACGGCATATGGGTTTCTCAGCCAACATTTAATGGACCACATTACATATATGAATATAATGCCATCCTGGGTATGCACTTCCCCATTAAAGTTTATTACTTTATAACTATTCTATTCTATTCTTTTCTTTTCTTTTTTCTTTAGCTTTATAAAATCATTTTTACACAGTTTTATTCCATAAATTTACGTTTACTTTTTACCCTTTTGCTGGAATTACAAGAATCAAGGAGAATTTCCATTTTGAAAAAAAATAAAAATAAAAAAAATACTTCGAGAAATTCTATTTGAGATTTTCTTTTTCCCTCATCAAATCCAAAGAAGAAAAAAGAAAAAGGTGACCATAAAGTAGCTTATAAACATAGTAGTAAGATGATCTTTGAATCATTTTTTTTTAATTAATGATTTATAAGTTATTTAACAATATTTTAAATTTATTTAGAGTCAAACACTATATGTTTTTTGTAATAGTATTTTTAGAAAAATATTTACATCTATTTTTTATTTGTCAGAATTAATTTTAATACATATCTCTTACAAATTATTATTATTTTTAAAAATATATTTTTTATTATTTAAAAAACTTAAAAATGTTAGATGAAATTTTTAGTTTTAACTGCTACAAAATATTTTTTTTTCTTATAAATATAATATACTCCCCGAGTGTAATATCCGGGTTCGAAATTTGATCCGAAATTAATTTTTGTATTTATAAAAATAATTAAAAATATTAATTTAATTTTATTTTATTAAATTATTTGAGAAAAATAAGTTATTGACGAACTGAAAAGTAATTTTTGAGAAAATGGGTGAAATTTTGAGTTCAATTGGTATTTTTAAAAGAAAAATTAGAAACAGGGAGGTCCAAATACACAAAAAAAAAAAATTGACCACGTAAGACGGCCCAGTCAGGAGCCACGGCGAACAAGAGCACGTTGCATAGCAAAACACGCTAACATCAGCTCCGCGCAGGTGATCCGCGTGCCCAGCGATCCGACAACCCATATTCAATCCCGCATGCGTGAATGGCTCAGATGGATTCTCTCCTTAGGCGTAATCAGACAGACGAGATCAATCGCGATAAACAGTCCAGAGTCACTCACGCAATCGGCCTAAACAGGCAACGATTGAACAACTCTCCTCACTCCACATCGACGCGAATGAATGGTTAGATAGACACGGATAAGTATATAAACATTACGTCGCAGGGGAACCCTAACCATAGTCGCACATGCTCTCACCGGAGAAGAAGGACCAGCCACTGGAGAAGGAGACCAACCCCTAGTAGCTGCCGCACCGGAGCCACCGTCGACTGCCAAAAAAGGTAAAATTCTCTCATACCCGCTCGAAATTCAATTCTGAGTCTCTCTATGGCAATATTGAAGCAAAAAGGACGATGGGTGAGACGAAAATTGAGGGCAAAGTCTAGCAAAGCCGTGATGGCCGAAACCCTAAAACCCATCTGATGAGGCCCTTATCATTTTTTGTTTCACACAATTTTCTGATTATTGTGTTCACCGTCCTTTTTTGTGTAGGTTAGCTGAAGAAGAAACCCCATCCGCGAAGAAGAACTGGTGGAGCCTCCATATTTGGAGACCTCCTCGTAGGTAAGTTGATGTTTTTGTAATTTTCTGGCCAACTAACACCCCTTAATGTATTTTTCTATAGTGATACATGTAAAATTGGCCAAAATCGGTTAAAACCGGCCAGCTCGAGACAAACTGTCGCTGTGGGCGGTGGAGCTGGCGTCGAAGCACTACCGTGTTGGAACCCTAAAATGGACCGAAAAGGATTTTCAATACCCATTTTAGATTTTTGGGATATTTTTAGGTATGTTACGAGTATTTTAGATTTCCGCATGAAAAATTCGAGAAATCTAAGACCCGTTAAGAGGTGTAATAGATATCACAACGTTTCGAAACACCGAACCGGGTAAGGATCTCTCACCCTATTCTTGGTTACGGTAAATTGAGGATTAATAATCGATAATTGTGTATTTTGTGCAAAAATTAGAAAAATCCTAAAAATATTACAGGTCACTAGTGGAGTTAAAACCGGTTAGTTCATATTTGTCCTAATTCCCTATTTATTTTTTTTTTACTATCTATATTTGCTTACTATTATACTGTGCGCAATTGAATTGATAGTTTTTATGGTCTTCTCGGTTATTTAGTCATTTGGTTCCTCCTGCATTATTTATTCAATATTTTGGTTATTGATTATTTGACTATGTTAAACTATATCATTTGTTTAAATACCATTTGAATTAATTTGTAAATATAAAATGAGATGTTGGTATGCTTTAGTTATTGTTTGGATGATGAGAGTCTAAATAAATGAAAGCTTACTAGGCATCATCGGAAAGGGTGGACGGACTCGATACATAAAGAACCCTACTGTGGACATTACTTCAGTCAGACAGGGCTGAGAAGTCCCATATCGGAAGGATTTTGGGAGATATAGTTTACCCTCATACCGAACGGAGTATCGAGACAATGGTGTTTTTGGCGCCCATTACCAGACGGGATATAGAGATAGCCTGGTTAATTGTCAAATCTTGATACTAGGTTCGCAAGTAGAGGGATATCCTTATGGACCCCCAAGGGTCCCAGTAAGTAGGTTATAAAGGAAAGATTGTTGATTCGATGCATGAAATTGAAATGTCATTTGGTTAATTGTCTTCATAAGTTGATTTTGAGAAAAATCGCAATGTAAGTATCGAATAAAAAATTTTAAAGATAAATGTATTTAGTTAAAGTAAGGGCTCCATTAGCTATTTTCTTATTTTTACCAACCTTTGATTTTTCATATCAGTGATTAGTGTGATATTTTTACTGGGTTAGTGTAGCTCACCTTTTCATTAACAATTTCAGATCAAGAAGACCAAGATTCAGATCCTAATCAGCAAGGGGGTTGTAAG